CAAATTTTCATAAAAATTTTGAGCTTTTAAATCAAATTTTTTTTTTTTAATTTTGAGTATGTAGTTTTGTAAATTTAATAATTTTAGTATAATAAAGTACAAGCTTTAAGCGGCTGCAAAATCGCGTTGATTTCTAATATTTCTCTTTTTTTTGCTGGCGGTTTTTGCGGGGTTTTTCATATAACATGTGCAATTTATAAAAACTGGCGTTGATTTTTATTTTTCTTTTCAAACGACCTCGCGCATTTTCTTCAATAAGAAATTCATGCTTGTATGTAAAAAAGTGCAAAAAGCCGTCACTTTATTATACTATATGCATGCATAATATTTTTTTGAAAAAATAACAAAAAAAAATATAAATGCATGCTTGTATGTAAAAAAGTGCAAAAAGCCATCGCTTTATTATACTATATGCATGAATCATATTTTTTTGAAAAAATAACAAAAATATATATTCAAAAAATTTCAAATATCTAAAAAAAAACCTATGTACTCATCAGTGCTCCCCACTGTACATATCTATATGTATCTGCTTCTTTTAATGTTTTTTTTTTGCTTTAAAAATATAAAAAAAAAACTTTTTCGCGAATTTTGATTTAATCTACATAGCTTTTTAGTTTATTTTATTGAATTATTTGATTTGGCTTGCTTGCTTGCTACGGCCGCTCGATTCATGGCACTTCCACGTTGGCTTTTGCGATTTTTGCATGAAGTAAAGTCGCACATACATACATATATATGCATGTATATTATTTGCTTTATTCAATATTTGTTTCTTGTGACTTTTAGCACCCATTTTAAGTTGGTGTTAATATTTTATAGTATACATACATACACATATACATATATACACATGTACGAGTAAACGTGGGTAATACGTACGAGTGGAGAGTGAGCAGCGCCATAATGAAATCGATCAGGCGAATCGACATGCTATAAACTGTATAAGTAGCCTGGCTGTAGATGACTAGAGACAGGAAGCAGATGGTGAATGGACGGAAGGAAGGGAGTGAAAAAGGAGGCAAGTCGAGGCTGATTTCTACGAAGCATATCTCCGCTAAGGGGATTAACCGCACCCCACACAGAATATTCGTTCGTAGGGGCAAGAAACTTCATATCGTTTCGAGTTATGATGATAATGAACGCAGCTGGAAACTTGAATTAGGAAGAAGCATTGCCCGCGGCAGATAAGCACATGTTGTAGAGATCACGAGTATGAATGAACTAATGCAAAGCAAAAAAAGAAGAAAATTAATATTATAATGCCGTAAAAGTCCAACAACCGCACACATACATACATATACTCACACAAATGCAATGCAAGGATTACAATAACAAAAAAGTACGCATTTTGGGAAATGAGCACAGCAGCGAACAGGCACGCATTGCGCTCATGAGTAAAGAACTCTCACACGATGGCGCGCGGACTGCTTTTACACGTACGCATTTTGTTGGGGTTTAAAATAGATGTCGACTACTGCGGAATGTGGCGAGTGATCTACATAAAATAAGAAGAATACAGCATTGGAAGAGCTTCATGGTGGCAGACCGGCGTTCCAAGTAAAGAAATAAAACAAAAGTGCACCAACGACAACTAATGACGTCGCTTGTGTGAATAATAATGCAACAAATAGCTTTGACAGCAAGTGGGCAGACAGCGAAAAATTTGCTGGTATTTGGGAGCCAGCGGATGGGGTGGTTTAATTATATATAAATATAGATTTTTTGTTTGGTACATATGTGTGTATCATAGAAGACTTGGTGGACTGCTTAAAAATAATCACACGAAAGCACGATAATTCAGATTTTCACAATAAGTGTTTTGTTTTAGTCAGAGATTAGAGCATTGTGTGATCTAATGGTCGCTGATGAGTTGATAGACATAGTGAAAAGTGTTCCTTTTTGTAAATTCCCTCAAGTGTTTTCCTCTTAACTCACTAAGAAAACAGAAAGAAGTGTTGCCTTTTAAGTATATGGTTTATCCGAAACTGCTGTGCAAAGGGTCGTTGAATTTTCAAGAGTACTTCGAACAGTATTTTAAACAAGTTTTAGATTCACAGAGAACGATGATAGTGTTTTGGAATAGTCGATGGTCAAGTTTTCGTAAAACTCCTATCAAACAGTCGATATGAAAAGTACGCGACGACCCATTGCTTCGAGGACCGGATGAAAACTAATGGATTACAGAGGAAGGGATTAAGTTAACCGATACCACTAGCCTTATCATTCAGGTATCAGACGGTGAAAAACTATTGGTATAGTCGATTTTGAAACACATTTCAGCACACACCCAGGCAACCAAGCGTTTTAGAGCAACATGCTGCCTCACTGTTCTTTTTGTCTTCGATGACATGTTTTGTGGACGTTCTTTACTACTTTTGAAGATCCAATGCCTAAATCCACTGCTAGAAGTGAAACTAAATCTTTTATCGACAGGACGACTGTTTTAGGCTGCGACTACGATCACCTCTGGCTATGAATCTAACTTGTTGTAGTCGGGAGGGAAAAGGAGAAACTCCACAGGCAGCATATCCAGGATTAGCATTGGCTATGGAAACGAGGTTAGCTTTTCATATTCCTCGGATTGTCCAGTGATCCAATTCACCAGTCCAACAGAAAAGGGCTCTAGAAACGGCTAAATTTCAAGCAGCATACTCTCGCGCTTTTTTCACCTGTTCGTAGGAACACAACCTTGTCCTAACCTGAGACCACTCCGAATTTGAAAAACAGGTGATGGTCTAAAATCATCGGTGTAGGACTAGGATTGCACAGAAGGACAACCGAGTCATTGCTCATATGGATACGAAAAAATTAGTCCGAAGCCGCGCTAAAAAGAAAAAAATTTTGGAAAATTTAACTGGGCTCAGCGCAATCAAAAAAAGCTGCCTTGAAACTAATTTCCAGAAGCTTCCACCGCACGTGACTAAGAAGTTCTCATTGAAGCAGCTGCATGGATGCCGAAATGTGACTGCCTACAAGCTTGCTGTGCTTGCTCTAACTTGTAACTACTACCTCCCTCAGTTTACAAGTCGTCGCATCGGGTCTGGCCTAAAAGGGCATGTGGGCATGACAAGTATTCGAATGCGTGTAAGCATGTAAATCTGGTACTGATTGTCTCGCTGATGAAAGAATGTGCCTGGGAGGCAAGCGCCAAGGGGGCAACACGTGAAACATAAAGAAGAAACGGTGATGCGCTCACAATATCTAGTTGATCAACATTGCGCTGTGTAGTGTAACGCCAAAGATGTAAAAAACAAATGCTCAAGACAGCATAGACTTGCCAAACGAGCGAAAAAACGGCCGCATACGCGGTGACGGTCGGCGATCGACGATCAGCCAACGCGAAATGAAGTCACCAGAGAATGTGAAGTGTTCATAAAAAGTGTGTGCGAGTGTGTATGAAATGGAGAAAGGCAAGAAGAGTCGCGCAACTTGCTACTTTTGCCGCTGCTGCCACACAATTTAATGGCCAAAATACACAAGTACGGCAACGTAAAGGCAAAAGCGCCATAAAAATGAAGCGCTCAACATGGCGAAAAACGAAAAATTAATATCAAGAAACCGGTTCAAATTCGCAAATAGCGCTAAAGCGAGAGGTGAATAGTTTGTGTGAGCAGGTCATAAGGTGGTAAAAAAAATAAATGCATATACATTAGGATGCATCACTCACCACTAAAAAAAATAGTACTGTTTTTTCATCGGAATTATATAAATTCTCTTATATTACAAGACTTCCGCAAAATATTTCGGTAAAATATTAAGGTTTACGTGAGCTGGACCTATTTGAAAATATTTCCAAAAGTTAATTTTTTTATAAATAAAACGTATCTATTTGTAATTTTTTTTCGAAAAGTCACTTTGGATGACAAAAAAAGTTATGCTTAAAAGATCTACATAAAAATGCTTAAACATTTTATCAACGGAATCAAAATAATGAGATTTTTAGAGGTATTTTTAAATCGTTTCAGCTCACGTAAATCTTAAAATTGTTCCAAAATATTTTGGCGCAAGTCGTAGAATATAATACATTTTAAAATTCCGGCGACAAACCAGCATTTTTTTTTTTTTGTGAGGCACCCTAGTATACTATGTATAGATAAATATTTAATTGGTAAATATTGATTAAATTTCTGTATCATAATTTTTTTCTCCATTTTTCTTTCGCAAACGTATTTGTATATTTTTGCATCACTAATGAACGCTTAATTAAAGCAGAAAATAATTTAATTAATTTTCAGCTTTTTGTAGAAAACCCATCCAAATCCGATAAAACTCGCAAAAACCCACACATAGCGAACTCAGCAAAGTGAAGTACCATATTGAAGAGCTTTAAGCCAAAGTCATGTACATATATAATCCACGGATAGGAGGGTGCTCTCAATTGGCTTTAAAGTTGAAGTGCTCGTGATTGAAGCGAAAAAAAAACAAATATAGTACTGGCAAGGGAAGGCGAAGGATGAGAGTGGAGGTCGGTAAGGTAAGCGCAGCGGTGGTTTCAATTCAATTAAGAAATTGTTGACGTGTGTTATTCGAGTGCTGGCCCGTAGGGGGAAAACAACAATAACACTGGCAAAATATCGGCGTTTTGTTTAGTGCGAAAAAATGTAGGTTAAGTTGAACAATTGCAAATAAAATTTTGCTGTTTATTGGATTTCGCAAACAACTACTCAGCTGTGTATGGTGTGTGAAAGCGCAGAAAATGTAAAAATATATGATTAAAAAAAGAGTTTATAAGAGTTTATTTGCATTACTTGTAAAAAATATTTTCGTTTTGTAATTTTGTAAGCTTTTGAAATTTGTTAGTTTCTTTTAATGTTTTTAGCTTTTCATAACTTTATTTATATTTCTCCCCCCTATTTTCTATTTTTCCCCTATTTGTTTCCTTTTTTCTGTTAATTTGTTTTATTGTTCTGTATATTTTTCCCCCCAGTTTTCTTAATTTTCAACCAAACTTTTCATATCGATTTCATTTTTTCACACATTTTTTTTCTTTTAATTACCCGAAACAGCCAAATGCTTTTTAAATTTCCCAAAATAGCGCAACTTTTTGCTGCAGCTATTCGTCGTTCATTTTTATTTTCAACCGTATAAATTTTCACGTATATATATTTTCCTGCACCAGCACACTTTTTTTTTTTACTTTTTCCTCTTTCGCTTTTTTCGCTTTTTATGGAATTTCAAATGCGGACGACGTTGTTGTGCGTACGTGGTCGTATTTGAATGTAGACAAATTTTGCTTATGCAATTTTGTATTTTACTGGAACAGACACATCGATGTTCGTGGGTACGAAGACAACGCTTTAGATCCGTTTTCGTAATGTTTTCGAAGCTGTAGGGGATTAAAAAAAAACAACAACTATGCGGAGGATCGGCAACCAATAAGGCTACACGGGCGGGAGTTCAATTATTAATTGACTTCGAAATAAATGCCATAGAATTCTTTATTAAATTAAATTAAGCAATTAATCCACAGTTCGCTTATATTTTAAGCTAGAAAAAACATCGAAATCGGGTGTTGAGCTGGTCGAAAACGCGCATACGTTGACGAAACCGAGACTGCTATCGCTACGAGCGATACGAGAACGATCGGGGACGGGAGTCGATTTTTTGCTATAAGTTTGTATTCGTTGTTGCAATTTTGTTGTACATTTAATGAGAACGCGCGCACACCGCTTGGTCGTCTTCTATTTTTCGGTTTGGCTGCCGATATCACACACTCAGATACTGAGGGAAACACGAAAATACACCACTGCTTCGTAGCTCGTCTACAAGTAAACTAAACTGTAAAGTCTGTGCTGTGAAGTGGCGGCGGCGGCGATGACGATGAATATGACGACGGCGAGCAGCGCAGGCAATGAGGGCGATTGTAGCTGTTAGCGTTGATGGCAATGTTGGTGCCAACAACACCAACCACCGGTTAAACTACAACAACTCCATAGTGCAGGCAACACGAATGAAACATGCAGACGACATAGTCGGTGTTAGGAAGTTTGGCGGAGGAGGAAAGTGCAGAAAATAATGATCAGCTTGATCGGTATTTAGGCATGGAGTTGCCACATATTATACTATAAACGCATAGGATTTTAAAATGCCTGCAAGTGGTATTGTTTGAGAGTAACTGGATACTTCAGACCTAGCGGGTACTCACAGAAAAAATTTAAGAAAAATAAATAACCACTAAATAACAGAAACAAAAAAATATAAAAATTTAAAGAACTAGAAAATATTGAAGCAAACTTAAAAAATATAGGAAATTTAAAAAATATAAAAATTTAAAAGATTAAAAAATTAAAACCCTTTTCAAACCTTTAACAGTAAAATTTTTTAATTAAAACATCTAAAAGTAGAGAAGGATAATAATTTTAAAAATGAAATTTAAGATTTAATTTAAAATAAACAAAGAAAATAAATTTATAAAAAACTAGAGAAAATGTAATAAAAAATTTTATTGAATGAAAAAATGTTATTGATTAAAAATAAAATTAAAATTAAAAACAAAAACAATTAAAAAATATATATAAAAAAAAACAAAACACTAAATACCCATAATATAAATATAACAAAACGAAATTATTAAAAAAAAAAATTTTATACAAAAAATTAAATACAGTAAAAATATTAACCTTTCCTAAAATATATTTAACAAGAACTCAAATTATTAAAAGAGCTAAATCAGTTAAAAATTCTACCGAATCGAAAGCAGTGGCAGCACTGTGAGCGCGACTTGACTTGTTCGCGAACAATGAGAGATCAACATATGTACATACATATGTCATCCAAAGAAAATAAAAGAGTGCTTATGAAAAGGTATTGAGGAACTCTATTAAGAACAACAATAACAAATATTTGCTGAATGAGTTAAACAGAAAATGGCAAATCAACAACGTATGTGTAGTGCTGCTCAAGAAAAGTAGAGAAAACAAGTCGCTCAAGCGAATAACCAATTTTGTGTTAAGCGCATTTTAGACGAGCTTTAGCGGTGATGCGTCAGAAGAATAGAGTAATAAGTAAGAAATAAATACGCAGTTAGAAGTTTTCAACAAATTACAATAATTTATGACTATGCATAGGAAAAAAACACTAATAAAGAATAAGGCGGGTAGTGAAAAGCGTAAAAGGCGACCAGCGGCAGTAAATATTTATTTACATATTGATTGTGCCGTTAATAGGAATGAATATTTTATTTTCACATTTCCGGTCTCTGACCGGAAAAATTTAATATGGAATTAATCAAGTGTATCTAAGGCATTAACTACCAACAAATAATCAATAAAATTATGCAGGTTGGCACAAAAACGGGCGAGAATGAGCTGGCAAAAACGTTAAGAGAGTCAGGCAGGTAAAATGCCAAAATAAAAAAACATAAATTTTGATTCATTTAGTGGAAATAAAAAAAACAGTTATAAAAACTAAAAAAAGTAATAAAGAAATAGAAATTAAAAACAAAAAAGTTAAAAAAAGAATTAAGTAGAGATTTGAAAAAGTAAGACAAAAAACAAATTACACAAAAAATTCAATACAAAAATAGGTTGCTAATAATAAAAAAATTTAATTAAAACAAATATAAAAAAGTTAATATTAAAAAATATAAAACAATAAGTTAGAAAATTTAAATTCAATTTTAAAAAATTTTTATGAATTAAATTTTTGTAATAAATTTTGAATATTTTTATACATTTTAAATATTTTTATAAATTTTAAATATTTTCATATATTTAATTTTTTAATTTAAAATATGTATTTTTAAAAATTTTAAATATTTTTATAAATTTTAAATATTTTTATAAATTTTAAATATTTTTATTAGTTTAAAAATCTTAATAGATTTAAAGCATTTTAATCAACGAGAAACGTTTTTAATTTTTTGCAAATGAAAAACACAATATTCTTCTGAAATATATGGAGCAAAACCATGGCACGTGTCAACCAGAGTGCTCATTCACTCGATGATAAGACAGCAATTTCTCAGAACCTGTTTAGAAAACACTAAACCAAAAATACCAATATTAAAATAAAACGAAAATTTAAAAATGCCTATGTGATTTCATAATTGGCACATCAACTCGTCGGAGCACACACGACACAGGCACTGCGACAATTCTCTATCTCGTCATGCTATGTCATAGACGCACCTTTGTGTGCATTTTCTTTATAAAATCAAATAAAAAAATTTAAATAGGCCAACCCAGAAAAGTGCAGAAAAAGTACAATGTTCTTTTTCTACTGCTTGTTGTTGCTGCATTATAAAAATTGCGGCAGATATTATGGAAATACAAATGTTAAAAAAAATCTTAATAATAAATATTTCAAAAAACTCACCACAAAAAGGCCAACAACGCAGTAAATGATAAGCATGCTAGAGGTAACCAGGTAAATGAGAGCATGATCGTGCGAACACTGAGTGCGCCCAACATACTTAGATTTGGCCAGTGAGCGCGGACAACTACTGCGACACTTTTTCTCTTCACAACTACATACATATGTACATAAATTAGCTAAAGTGGCAGCAGCTGAGCCAGGTTAATAACTACTATTGGCCAATATTGCTGGCGAGAATCAATTGTTGACTGCTTTTGAGGTTCCCTTATGTACAAATGTAGCGAAAACTTTACGGTTACTGCTTTCTCAGCTCGTTTACCTCACTGTAGGCAAGCAAGATTAGATGCTGCAGCGTAGAGTGTAGTTTAAAGAAAACCATTGACTTAGTTTTGGTGTGCAATTTTTTTTTTGGTTGAACATTTTTGTAATGAAAAATTTATTGAAAAAAATAACGAGTATGATGACAGAAAATTTAAAGAAAAATATATTAAAACAAAATATGTGTGTATATTTAGAACAAAAATATAAAAAAAATTAAAATAACAAATTAGAAAAATATTCAAGAAATAAAAAATTAAAATAAATTAAACAAAAATTTAAAAAGTATTTAAAAAATATTAAAGAATATTTGAAAAATAAACAAATTAATATTTTTCAAATAATTTTTTACGATTTTTAGTATTTTTGTAATATTTTTTTGTAATATTTTTTTATTTTTTATTTTTTTCATTTTTTTATTTTTTTATTATTTTTTATTTTTTTTTAATTATTTTTTATTTTTATTTTTTTTTTATTTTTTATTTTTTTTTTTATTTTTTATTTTTTATTTTTTATTTTTTTTTTTATTTTTTATTTTTTATTTTTTTTTTTTTTTTTTATTTTTTATTTTTTATTTTTTTTTTTATTTTTTATTTTTTATTTTTTTTTTATTTTTTATTTTTTATTTTTTTTTTACTTTTTATTTATTTATTTTTTTTTTCATTGTTTTTATTGTTTTTTTAAATTATAGTATGTATATTAAAAAAGAAACTGAAAATAATGAAAATATTCAAAATAATAAAAAATTATTTTAAAAATATTAAGTTATAAAAAGTAATTAAACTATGTTTTTGATTTATCAATAAAAAAAAAGTACATTAAAATAAAAATATCTAAATTTCATAAATATTTCAAATTAAAAAAAAAAACACAAAAATTAAATAATGCAAATTACTTCCATGTCAAAAACTAGTTCCTGTTTTTTTAATACAAGGTGAAATTATTTTCTTTTCCAAAAGGCAGTCAATTAGCACAGAAAATTACAACTGGCGGTGCTTTATTTGACTCAGCCAAAATAGCTTAGGCGGTTACAGCGTCAAAATAAGAATAGGTAATAAAATTAATTTCCAGGGTAATTTCCTGATCCTAAAATCATTACAAAATAATTTTCTTATTTTAAATTTTTAATATGCATTTAACTTCACATTTATGTCCATATGTATGTATGTATGTACATCTGTACTCTTCTTCAATTTGTACGCCTTGTCGTATGAGCAACTCTATGCTCAAATGGACGCTCAAGACAACAGCATTCACAAATATAAAATTACACATTTATGTATGTATGTATGAACATATTTTCCCCATTTTATTCCATTTCACTTAATTTCTTTTCTTACTTTCAAATTTGCATTTCCCAACCAATTTCCTGAATTTGATTGCTTTTTGCCCTTATCTGCATTCAGGCCTAAAAATATGCAATACCGAGCGGAAAAAGCATTTCATCAAAAACATGAGCGCAATGTTTTAAGTGAGTGTTTGTGCCTGTTGGTGAGAGAAAATACACATTGGTATTTGTACTGTTAAAAGAGCAAGAAAAAGCTCTCAATAAGAAAAAGTATGTAGAAAATAAAACGCTGCTTCAAGTTGACTTTGATTGTAGCAAAGCTTTTTTGCTTTTGTTTAATGACGACGATGGAAATGGAATAAAATTAAGCAATACTATAGCAAAAAAAAATTAAAAATTAAGAAATGTGAAATAAAAAAAAAAAAAATACAGCTTCTATGAAAACTGTCTGCATTTTTAATCAGGCCTTTTTTCTTGTTTTTTTTTTTTGTCCGGCAGTTTGCCGCAATCTCAAACGCGTTTATTTCATTAGCATTAATACATTATTGCCAGAGGTCAGGGCAAGTGCAAAATGCGAATACATTAAACAGCTCACAGTAAATTTCTAGATATTAAAATCAAAGCAAAACCAAAAAGAATATTTATAAAATATGACCAAAGGAAGTAATAAGAAAAGAAAATAAAAACAGAATCAATGATATGACGAAAAATAAAAAATGTATAACTAAAAATAGTGAGAAGAAAAAATATGTCCTAAATGTGGATATTTAATGAAGTAGATATAAAGCGGCGGAATTTCGCCGTGCGTGAAAGTCTTTCACTAAAGCGATACATTTTTTATGCATTTTACTCAA